TCCTTCAAAGATTTCTTATCCTGTTGCGCCCTCTATAGGACCAGCGACTAGTCGACGTCAAGCTTAAAGCGTCATGGCAGAGCATTGTCTACTAGCAGCTCTACTAGTCGACTAGTCGGTGCAACCCCTAATATATATATGTGTGTGCAGCCCTATAATTCAGCACCACAAACCTGGGACTCTTTTTTTTTTCTTTTTTGCCTTTTAAATCGATCCGGAAATGAAATTATTTTCTCTATCTGAAAAATTGCATTTCGATTTTGTTTTTTCTTCCCCCGTAATCATTCAGTTCTAGTGTATGTCATGAACAGTCACTCTGTAAATGCTCATAACTCACAGCAGACACTGATCTAGACTGTTGGTGATGTGTTCTCTGATGACAGTCGTTGTAGTTGTCTGTTGTCTCTTGCTAATTGTTCGTTTGTTTGTCAGTCATGAGTCTCTCCGACTGATTGTAGTTTGTGACTGAAGCAGAACCGTTACGTCACTGCTGGAAATGACAGCAGATGGGAGACACGTTTCCATCGTTTATCCGTGTGCATGAGGAAAGACACAGACGTATTTAAATGACATCTAAATGAATAACATAATGCATAAATATTGGGTCAGATAACCACGTTTAACTAGATTTAATACTTTTCAGCATTGATTGAATTGTAGATACATTCATCTCACTTCATGTGCCATTTTGGATATTTTTGGAGCTTGTTGCAGTGCATCATGGGATTGTATTTTTTTTATTTAGGATTTTAGCTGTGACTTCAGATTTTTCATATAAGATGATGTTACTTATTATTTTTCTACTTCAAAATTTCACATTTAATTAACAAAAATAATTAAAAACAAAATAAAATAAAACAAAATAAATATTAAAATAAATAAATATAAAATAAACTAAATAATAATAAAAATTATTTGTTTAGTTTATTTTTATATTTTATTTTAATGTTTGTTTTTAGCTTTTTTTAGTTTTATATCATTTTAATTATTACATTTTATTACATTGTGTTATTAAATACAATATTAAAATGATTTTTCATTTTTTTGGATTTTATTAATCTTGCTCTATAGAGGTTGTTTAATCCGTGACTTATTACAGATAGTAGTGTAAATGACTCATAACCTCCCAAAATATTTGAAATTTAATAGCAGTTTCTGAATGTCAGCGTATAAAGGCATATTTATTCCTTAAAATTCTTAAATAAACAACTTCATCATACACCATTAATAACTAATGATTTTGATAATGTGAATAAGAAAAGCTGTAATGGTGATACTTGTCTTTAAAAAAAAAAAAAAAGTAAACATGCTTTAGAATTTGGCCAAAGCAAATTTGTTTACAGTTGCCAAGCAACAGAACATTCCAATGACAGGCACTTTATAATTCCACTGACATGCGTCAAAAGGTCAAATTCAAATACGGCTCGTCCAGTCAGAGTTGTGAGTTGGAACAGTTTGTTTTCTGAGGTTGATATGTAATAGCGTGTGTGATTTGTGTGTGTGTGTTTTCAGGGTGAGGAGGGGCCGCCCAGCCTGGAGTACATTCAGGCCCGGGACCTGTTCCCCCAGAAAGAG